GGGGAGGGGGGAGGGGGGAGTCAAAGGGGAGAGCGTTAAGTATTGATTTCAATAGGAAACGTTCCTGTAAAGCTTGCGGCAACGTTTGCACAAAAAAGCTCGATCTCGCCTTTAACCACTGAAAAATGCTTCACATGATCATACAAGGTTTTAGAATAGATGAAAATGAAAGTAAATAATCATTATCGAATGGAGAATAGTGATGGGGGGTGAACGGGATTAGCCTCGAGGGGATATGTCAAAGACATTTCAGTAATGTTTTCCTAAAACGACAAAAATTCTACGCTTTTACTAAATAAGGCGGTTTCCAAAGCCCCATCAAGAGGATTAATAATGTACCGGTCTCATGGCATGGGCTGTTTTATCCTTATCACATGCTAGAGTGTTTTGATTTTAAGAACAAGTTTCTATTCATTTCAAGTGTTATGTCACGAACAAGTCGTTGAGCTAATTGAAAAGCACTCGAATGCAATCAAATAGACGTGTTAGTTTGGACGCATTGTTTCTTCTAGTGAGTTATCCAGACCATTATCACTGCATTTTTAATATATAATTAATTAATTTTTTTAATATATAATTAATTTAACCAGGTTTTAAAATGGATGTGATTTAGATAAAATTACGTATAATAGAAGGGAGTATAGAAATAGATATTTGCGTTGCTAAATAATTCCAGAACATTCCTTCCGAACAGAGAAAATTCCTATTGTAACCTCCCTTAATGTCGCAATGACTGCAACGCACCTTTTACTTTCGCAGTAAAAATTACAAGAATGGTTGCAATGAATAAAGGCAAGTGTATCAGCAATTAGAGAGACGAAAGGATGAAGATAACGACTGACAGAATACAACGTAAATTGGATTTTTCTGATAAGAATGGAAGGCATTTAGTTTGTTTTTTCCAAACCTACTTGTAGTTAAAGATGGAGTCTCAATATATTCGACAGTTTCAACTAAGAGAGTGGTGATTGACACCTAAGGTAAATAATACACCGCTAAGTCAGTTCAGTGGTAAACAATTTGACAATTCCGAGAACGAACATATTTACTAATCGTTTATCTAGCACCATTAGGGTTTTTGCATTTATTAGCACATGGAGGGAGGGGGTCGGCAAAATTGTAGTGGGTTACTTTTTTTTGAAAAAGTGGTTAGGGGAGGGGTGAGGGGAGGGTAGGTTATCACATACTGAGGGGGGGGGGGGGGGGTTGAAAGGGGGTTATGCAATTTTTACCTCTACCATGGAGAGGAAGGGTTGGGTTATGTTTGCAAAGCTTTCCATATGGTTTTGGCAGAATGCTGATTAATACGATGGAGCCCGAACGACTGCCAACTTCTTTTGGCTTAGAGCTGATGATATAACGATCGATAGGCCATTTTTGCCGCGTTTCAAATGATCCTTGAGGCATATATAAGACTAAATAAGAGCCATCAGTTTTTCCAATGAAGAATATATAACGAGAAGTTTAATCGGATTACATCAATGTTTCCAGGTAATTTCATTAACGGCTGTTGTCGGACCCTTAACCTGTTATTGTCGACGTAACGTTTCCTATTCCCAATCACATGTCATTCCGCTTCTAGCGCTGTTTGGCATCTGTTCAATTATATCGGTAACGCTTTGGAAGATACTATTAATATGAATGTCAATGAGGTTTGACCTAAAACCATTTTGGCAAAAGAGGGGAAGGGGGACTCCCCAGTCTCTCTCCGTTTCCTTATCCCCTCCCCCCTCCCCAAAGCGCCGCTACGCTGGCTACTTCCCTCTTATAAACAAGCTGTGATGTCATAGTGAAATAGGGCAATCAAGCGTGCATATCTATTATCGCGTCACGTGATCATTTACCGCCATATTGGTAAATAACTGTGGATATTACCGCTGACACACAGGTTTTTCACCTTGGATCAACGAACCTACTTTATAAACCCGTCACTGTCATCTTTGCTCCAATATAGCGAAAATGCCCACATGACCCGATACTGTCTCTCTCCATAGTACTATAATAAAGAAACCTCTGAAATACTTACTCAGTTTGTAGTCGGACAGCAGTTCGCTTCAACCAAATAGCTACAAGACGGCTGTAAAACGAATGCAAAGCTTAAGTTAGTCGGCATCACGTGATGTTACTGATTAGAGGCTTTGAGTATCGTATTTTAAGGTGACTGCCTACTTTTGGAAAAAATATTTAACTTTTTTTAAACTTCGATTTTCCGAATTGAAATTTAATGCTGATTCCAAATCCGGAATGAAAAATTGGTGTTTTGGCTTGTTTTCGAGATAATCAGCATTTAATGACAGCCTACGCGCGAGCTTTTGGAGCAAAAATCGCGCCACCCGAAGTGATTAGGAAAAAATTAAGATTGATAGAATAATAGTTATTTGCCGACTCTATGATTGCACGAATGAAGGCTAGTCAATCATTCTACAATAATTCGTGGATTTTTTCGACAAAAAGACAAAGAGATACATTGATTTGTCATACTTTGTAGTTTCGAACAAAATTCCCTACAAAAATCTATTTTTTCATGTGTTAGAATAATCTAGATTTTTAGGAGTTTATTCAAATAAGCTATTAAAAAATAGTTCCGTGCAAAATGTGAGGGTTTTGTCCTGTTGAAGCTCAAAACGCGTATGGTTCTTCAATAAAATCTTCTAGATTTGTCAGCTGTTTTTGAGCGCGCACACATCGTTCAAAAGTAGGCAGCCACCTTAGGCGTTACCTAAATTAAATAAACACTACCTCAAATCCCTTGCTGCAGCTATAGTTTTGAACCTTCAGCCTTTTAAAAACGACCCAGATTAAGAGATCTATATTGGATACTTTTGTAGTCACCGACAGAATACCTACCTGATCAATCAAACCCTTGGGAGCGCGTAAGATGGAGACTCACATAAATGATACACTATTAATATAATATTATTGCTCTGTCATTCTTTCATCGCATCCCTCCATATATATAAAGACCAATGCCATATGTTTATGATTAGCTTCTGAAATTAAAATCTTGATGACCGGATATATTTGTCACCTCGCATTTCCATGGTAACTGACCTGGGAGAGGCCAGAGGGCCAAGGGAGATCGCCAACTTGGCATAAAGTATATAAAAAAAAGTATAAGTTGATACTTTGTTTTTCTCCCGATGAATGTCATAATGCTACGAAGAGCTCAAAGGTCAATAAATTAACAGCCAATATTTGTACATTTTTGGACTGAAATAATGCAAAAAATAAATTTACAATAAAATTAAAAAAAAAAAAAACAGAAAAAAATTGATAATGGCGGTGTATTTTTTTCTTTTCGCTCACAACATGCATATGTGTCATACGGTACGAGTTTCATTTTTCCGCAGAAACTAGATAACCTAAATGAAAAACTTGTGCCATAAATTAAGAGCGAATATATCACTTGTACACTTTTGGACGGAAATAAATCTTAAAATAGAGTGCCAATTAAAAAAAAAGTAAAAGATTATCGAATGCTCAACCAGTTTAAATTTTTGAAGCCTGTTTTTAATTCGCGTGCGGAATATTCTAGAAGAATTCTAAGACCAATTAAGAGAACGAGATAGCTACATTCTCAGCGCCGTCTGCAAAACCACTCCGCCGCGCCACTATGCCTGAGCACTCCTTCCCTCCTCGGGGGGGATTTAATGAACGGGGTTTATAGTATTGGATACTAAAAATCTGAGAGGCATTCAGAGTATCCAAAAATATATATAAATCGTAAATTAAGTTCATCAGAAAGAGTAAGCATTTTCAATGTATTATGTTGGCCGCGACTTATGAAAGCGATACACACAAAAGCAGACAGGTAATCCGTTTATACGACAGAGTAGTTTAATACTATGTGACATTGCGTGAGACATATGACTGTAAATAACTTATATACCCGTCCGTCCACACAAACCAATCAAAGCAATTTGTTTTTAAAGCCATAATAGTTGATATTAATAATGTATTCATAAAGTTCTTCTTCATTTGTTAGCTTAGCTAAGGACTTACGTACCTTGCATTGAGAGTAGCGTTTTAAAGATATCCACCACTCTTAGGGCCTACCGTCCGTACTAGTGAACCAGTCTCCAGACACGTAAAAGAATGGTTTCTCGTTTCGTCTGTACTAAAAAGGCATGATTTACGTATCTTAGTAGGCAGTTCAAGAATTTGACCCTAGCCTGACCTCTACTTATATTTTGCAAGAGCTTGGTCCACCCTCCCTTGGAGATAGTCATCCCGCGAGATGAGGGCACTGATACGAGGTTATTGGTTATTAACAGCTCCGGCGCCAGATAAAAATCTGTTTATTTATAAGCATTTGGGAGTTTTATCGAGAAATCATTAGTTAGAAACTGTGTCAACTGACGAAAAACTGAGGCTCCCGTGACTCAGCCTTGTAATAACACCAATGATCCTTTGCGCGGGCAACTAAATGCGCTTAGAGCGACACCAGAGGAGGGTGATCAAGTTGCACGTGACCTAATCGACCAATCACGATCCCGATCACAGGCAATGAAATTCCAAAATTATTTTCGATCGATGATGGGTAAACTAAATCTAATCTAGAACTGATTGATAAAGAACAAGATTCAAGGCTCCGGGGAAACAATGTAATCGTACAAGTTCTTTTTTCCTTTCTCCAGAGCCTCGACTCGTATTGTTTTGTGCTTGACCTCTCAACCAGAATATCGAAAATGGTCTATTGCTGCATAGGATCCATAGGTACGTAGATACGTAAGGAAAGGATTACGAGAACGGATTTTAATTGTATTTTGATTGGTCTGTCTGTCTACACTTAAATATAATTACGAACCATGCAAAGAATTGCATACGGACTTAAACACTTATCACCCTATGGACTCAATCAATCAGAAATCGGTTCTTATTTCGTGTAGAGGACACGGAATCTCAACAATACACAACRAAAGATACAAAAGGACAAGCTATGAAAAAATGTAATAGGTTTCTATTGAATTACGTACAGTGTGACGTTTATTGGCCACTTTAGAAACGAACAAGAGACTGGGGCGAGTTTTGAATTTTAATCTTATTAGAAAAAAAACTTTTGTCATCTGAGAAAGCATCTCAGCATTAGTGAGTCTACTTAGGGGAGTGAACGTTGCGTGACGACACTAATAGCAGCTGTGTAGGAGACTATTTGAAGGCTTGTAACTGGTTATTTTCATCCAATCATGTTTAAATATTACAGTCTTACGAATCAGTTGAGGTGCTTTATCAGATGACGAAACTCTCTTGCTAATTAGATTAAAATTCAAAACTCGCCCCAGTCTTTTGCTCGTTTCTAAAGCGGCCAATTGTGTCGTCTAAAAATAAAGTTATACCCAAAATCCTTGGGGACATGTTACGTCATAGCCGCCATGTTGGCCGATGATAACAAAGCATTCCTTATAATCGTGACGATGCAGAGTCAAAGCACTTTCATTAAATGAGCATCATCAGAATCGCGCTGTGATTAGTTCAAAGTACCGAAGTTCTTGGTTTAATGGTTGCGCAAAAAGGTGCTATCACACGGTGCAACATTGTATGCAACATTGCACGAAACCGGACTGTTGCAGAATGTGTCTACCCCAAACTTGTTGCATGCAAAGTTGCATGCAACAAATCTAAAGTTCAATCACGCTCTACTATTGTAACAGTGCGCGCAACAAATTTCATCATATGAACATGGCTGAAATTTATAACTTCTGGCCATATATCTTAACATATCAGGCTGACACAAGCGATGTTGCGTGCTTTTGTTGCAATGTGTGCCACCCCGATTCAAATTTGTTGCTTGCAATGTTGCGTGCAATGATGCACCGTGTGTGTCACGTGGTGAAAATGACGTAAATGGTAATGAGATATTATATACATGTAGACACGTGTAGACTCAAAAAGAACCAAAAAAAGTACGATTAAAGGAGACAAGAAGATTCTATAATTTGTTAGTATCTGTGTACGTTTTGGAGGTGCTAACATGTGTCAGCACCTTAAAAACACACATGTCAACTCAAACAAAGAATCTTATTCTAAAGAAAATGACACGTGGTCTGAACTGGGGGAAACGTTACGCTCAAAGAGGTATGATTAAGTTTCGATTGTCACCATTGACAATTTAATTCGTGTTTTTAAACTCTCGTTACTAAGCCAGAAAAAAACAAAGTTTGTTAAAGATAGTTCTTAATAGGAAAAAAACACATATAGGGTTCATAATTTGCAAGCAGGCTATGGTTTATTGTTCTGTGCTGTCATGCAAAGAGTAATAAACACTGCTTCATCAAAATGAGCACTCTTCAAAATGTTTACAGTGTGGCAGGTTTTGACTTTAATTTTGGTTCAGTTATAGAAAATGAAAACGGTGTGATAAAAAAAAAGTAGTCTTTACATTGTCCTTAAAATTTTCCCACACGTTTTACTGTCTTCAACGACCAGTACCTCTCTTGAGGTCAAGTCGAAAAGTCTTCACTTCAAAATACACTTGAATTCACTAATCCATCGAGCCTAAGCATGTACCTCACACATATATAATTACTCAGGGTCGGACCTAGGAATTTGTGGGGGGTGTCGTAATTGAAGAAATGTATATAGAGATATTATAGAGCATCGTAAATGTTTCTTTTGCTTCAAAAAAAAAATTAAGAGTAATTACGGCGTTAGGGGGGTGTCCGTTGCACCGCAGGACACCCCTGGATCCGCCCCTGGTATTTGTATGTCACAGAATGGTTGTCAAGTATTAAGTTGCATGTTCTGAAGCTGCTACCTTTGTGAGTTTGATAAATTTATTGGAAGACACATGACCGTTCCCTTGAGTATTGTACAAGCAATAGACCCATTCAGCTTGGCTCAATGTTGTCCCATTTCAGACCACATGACCATTCCCTTGAGTATTGTACAAGCAATAGACTCATTCAGCTTGGCTCAATGTTGTCCCATTTTAGACCACATGACCATTCCCTTGAGTATTGCATGGCTACACTTTAATTAAAAATTGCTCTCTGTGCGTCTCCCTCTATTGATCTGTGTTTTGTTTTCAATATATATTTGTGTATTTAGCATAAATACACAGGTGATTATTGAAAATTTCGCGCGCTGATTGGTTGAGAGACTCAGACTATCACACGATAATCACCTCCAGCGATAATCCAAAATGGTGGTCAGCCGCTTTGTTGTTTTAAATGTGTCTTTTATCTTCTTCTTTTTTTCTTTTTTTGGAAGAATCACCTATGTATTTATACTAAAACAATTATTCACCTCAGACTTAGTGAATATCGGGAATAATAACCTCAACTTCGTTTCGGTTAATATTATTACCCGATATTCACTTCGCCTTCTGCGAATAATTGATAAATAATCTTATTTTATATTTATTGGTGAAAGTTTTGAAAATCAAAAAAAGAAAGAAATATCGTCCAAAAACAAACTACTGTGCTGAATTTAGAAAGCTTACTTGAATTGGTTGCACTCCAATTTCAGTTCCTTCCGTCTCAGAGTTTAGTATCCCAGACAAGTTTCCGCGTAGGCTGTGAAGACAAAATGTCACACTCATCTATTAGAGGTATAGTAACTTAATCCCTTAGTATTCTTAGTGTAGCTATGTTTTTGTAATTTCATTTTAATCCCTGAATAAACCGATTTGGGTTTATTTTCGCCCATGTTACTAGAATCGCTGATGGGTGTCAAAGGGTGCATGGGAACTATCAATTTTACCGGCTAATACATGATGAGATGAGGTTGGTTTTATTTTCGCCCATGTTCCTACACTCGCTGATGGGTGTCAAAGGGTGCATGGGAACTATCAATTTCACTGGCTAATACATGAGATGATGTTGGTTTTATTTTCGCCCATGTTCCTAGAATCGCTGATGGGTGTCAAAGGGTGCATGGAAACTATCAATTTCACTGGCTAATAGGTGAGATGAGGTACTGAGGGGGGTCTCTATTTCCTGACTGGAAAAGCCATTAGTTCATCGTTGTAAGCAGTATGGGGTCTATAGTTACTATTCATCATATGGACGAATATATAGCTATTTACCAAATCTAATTAATTGAATATGGCAAGGAAAAGCAAGGTCATTAGTGAATGTTATCCAGAAAAAAGGTTCAAAGTTTCGATCAACATGATCAATCATGTCCAAAGAAGCGTATGTTTCCCATGCTTTTCTAATGCTCTAAAACCAGCTGATCTAAGAAAAAATTATAGCCAATGAGAATCGAGAAAAATTGAGGTATCACTTTTCCTCTTGAAATTATGGATTTAAATAGGAAAAAGGCGCGCGCGAAGAAAAAGTTCTAGTGCATTTTTTATCGTTTTTTTTTTTTTTTTTTTTTTTTTTTTTTTTACTCTTTCGTATTACGGAGGACATTATCTTGATCTCGAATTTTAAAAAATAATTGGTCATTAAATTTTTCTGATTTTATTTTCACCATTCACTTTAATCTAAATTGGGCTCCCTGTGGTAAAAAGTGCCTTACCCTTCCTCCTTTCCCCCCTTCCTCCTCTCCCCCCTTCCTCCTCTCCCCCCTTTCCTCCTCTCCCCCCTTCCTCCTCTCTCCCCTTCCTCCTCCGCCGTCCGTGAATTCTGAATGTAATCCAAGGTTTATTTGTTTTAAATAATATCTATACTCTTTCAGTCTTCCATTTCTCCACCCTCCTCGCCCTCCCTCCTCTCCCTCCCTCCTACATAATAATGCGCATGTGCTTTATTTGGTTTTATGGACTTTCAGATTAAATATTCGTATGGCTTTTATACCACTCAATAAGAGAATATATAGCTTAACATCTTTAGTGCGTTTAAGTCGACAATTTGTTTCACTAACTTTGAATTCATGTTCAGAAACTCCATCAACATTTTCAGATGTTCTACTTTGTCGTATAAGATTATAATGTTACGCATGCTTAATCTTAAAATTCTAATTTTTGATTTTCTCGAATATTTTTATCGGTTTACTGAGCATAAGAGTTCAGAAGTGAAGAACACGACTCTTTCAACAGAAAAGAAAGTCCGAAGCATGTTTTTGCTTTGTACACTGCTTACTAACACGCTAGAAAACTAGTCGCCAGCTGAAGAACTGTCAATCACTTCTAGTTGGACTTTGAAGGAAACAAAACAACATCAAATATTATCTACAAACATGTGCCTGAAACTCAGTGATGTCAACCCGAAAAAACTCTATCCACGATATCCATTTGTGAGGGCCTTCACCACATCACCGGTAAGATTAAAAATCAAAAATGATTATTTTTTGCAATTATGAAAAATGTCAATGCAAGTTTGATATTCTACTGAGTTCTGGCGAATATTGAAACTGAAATTGCGCGCCTCAGATATATGTTGTTTTTTTATTATTGTTAGTGTTATATTGAAATAGACAGCTTGCAGATATAAAGAAAAATAAGAATTTACGCTGATATTATTTCTAATCAGTTTTTAAGCTGATTTTCTCGGCTTTTGAAGTTGTATTCCTAATCAATTTTGGGCGGTAAATTTTTTAGCAGTTCAAAATTGTTTTGTTTTGGAGCGCAATTATTTGCTCATTTTCAATGTAGAATTTAAAAATATCTAAAAATATATTTTTTTAAATTATTATTTATGAATATAAGAGGTTTCCACCTACAAAAACAATTATTTTTAATCATAAAATAAAATAAAAAGGTTTTAAGCGGCAAAAACCTTAAATATTTACTACAGGCGTAAGTTTATCAGCTAATTTATGCAAAACACAAAACACTTTTGGCGGGAAAAAGCATTACTGAAAATCGGTTAAGCGCCATTTTTACAAAACAAAATTTCTTTTAAAGAGAACTTCGTTAAATCTTGAAGGATATAATAAAACAATAGATGTACCGTTTAAGCTTTTTTCGAAGCAAAATGAAAAGCAAAAATATACATTTTGGAGTTGATGTGAGAGTTGACTGAAGTATTTACATAAAAGTTACACTTGAGGAGTTTCATTGTACATTAACTAAAAATAATCCGCTTTTTAACAAAGAAAAACTGTTCTTGACAATGACTTGATATTCTTTAAATCAAATTCACACGCTGGTGAAACGTCTAGGAGCCATAAACTGTGGTTTTGAATTTCCAAAACAAAATTATATAGAATCTAAAAACTTGACAGTGTTTTGGCGGGAGTTCTGCATGAACGCGTGGCAGAGCGGGAAAGTCGATATGCCAACGGAAGCTGAACAAGCACTTTTGAGACCGGACAGACCGGATTTGAGCTCTAAAAGTAAATATGCATTGAGCTTATAAATAGAAATAGTTAAACGAGTAAGAAAAAGTTACGAAATTTATACCGACTTTAAAATAAAAGAAACTGATTGCAAACACTTTAAGTTTCCATTCGAGATCATATCCAAGGACAAGAGCTGCTTTTTTAAACGTATTTTTTTGAACTAGCGTTTTATGATTAGAACTTAGTATCGTTTATATTTTTTTAATTTTATACCTATTTAATTGCTTTTATTTTTTCACTTAATGATATATATATATTTTTTAATTTCTATTTTAATAGTAAGGAAATATTATATTGTAAATAGATATTGATATTGTATTTTTTAATGCGCACTCGATCATATATTGGCAAGTTAGACTGCGCAATGTTAAGTAAATAAATATTATTATTATT